ATAGACGTCTTTGGCAGTCAATGAGTTAAAAATCTACTGTGAGAGGGCAGCTTCTCTGTTATCTGAAGGTTTTGTGCCCCCCCCCCTCCACAGGTGGTGCTCCTGGGAAAGTTTAACGGTCAGGGCCTGGGGCCCAACCACGAGCTGCTGGTCCGATGCACCAAAGGCCGGGAGTACGTCAAGGTGACTGAATCAATTCACCCCTCAATGACTATTTTATGGTTATAAAAATCATCTTATTATGTAGAAATACAGTATATAGATCAGGGGTAAACAAGTCTTCTCCTACTCCAGTTACAGCTGCAACAACCCCCGAAAAAACCCCCAAAACATAAAAAATATCTTCATAAACTCGCGATATTATTTAGGAAAAAGCAACATTTTACTCATCAAAAATGTGGATTGTTTGTAGTCAAAATGAATCCTCCTCTCTTTCCTCAAAAAGACTTTAATTACTCTGTCCTACAGATTATCCTTAAGATTTAGTTCCATCAGGAAGTCCTTTTTCATTGAAGCTAACGCGTAAAGTCCAGCCTATTTACTTACTTATAGCTATTACACCAACACAACTATGCTTCGGTTCGTTTGCTAGCTTTAGCTGCTTTGCTATTTGACTATTCAATCGGAGGTAGAGGGCCAGAGGGCCCTGGTGTCTCCAATTTAAACTCTGATTTGTCAAAGCAACAGTTTAATGACATTTATTTTCTGTTAGAAGGCCTGCAAAACGGGTTGTGAAGGCCTCCAGGCAGACATCTTTGACTTTTACCCTGCCCAGCAACAAGTGATGGCTAAAATGTGATTGGTTAAATGCTTTAATATGAAAATACATGACCATTTGGAAATATTTAATAAGTATTCATGGATGAAATATAACTAACATCAGTCTGTGATTCGGATATTTTCTCAGGCCAGCAGAGAATGCCCACACTGGGATTCATATATATATATTATTATATATATATATATATATATATATATTATTATATATTATATGAGGAATTTTGTATATATATATGTATATATGTATAGACATGTATATATGTATATGCCTTTGTTTTGCTTATGGAGCCTGTAACAAAAATAATTTCCCTCTGGGATTATTAAAGTATTTCTGATTCTGATTCTGATTCTGATTAATTAATCTACATACAGAGATCTAAGGCTTTCAGACCCCCTTTCAGAGACCCTTTTCCCTTCTCCTTCAGGTGGTCCTCAGCGGGGGGCGGATGGTGGGGGCCGTTCTGATTGGTGAAACCGACCTGGAGGAGACGTTTGAAAACCTGATCCTGAATCAGATGGATCTGACGCCGTACGGCGAGGAGCTGCTCAACCCCAACATCGACATAGAGGACTACTTTGACTAAAGCCGCCACATTAAACGCCTTATTTAACATTTTCAGACTGATTCATGTCGAATTAAATTATTTGTTTACATTTCTGAGCCTCTGTTTTACTTGCATGTTAAGTAAAAATCTGTAAAAAGACACTTGAAGGTTTTTTCCATCATAAACTGTC